AACAGCTGCAGCAGAGGCGACTGAGGGGAGAAGAGGGGAGGGCGAACACCCCTCAAAGAAGGGAGTGCGGGGAGTGCCACGAGAAGCGCCTACAGCAACTATGCTAGACTCAGCTGCTAGGAGGTGCTTCTCGAGCAGGTCGACAGGGAGGTCGGTGGGGTCGAGGGCTAGAAGGAGGTCCCTGACTGCAATGAGAGAGTTAGGGAGGCGGGTGACTATGAAGTAGAGAGTGATGTACATAGGAGGAGGGTTCTTGGTGAGAAACTCGGCGGGAAGCGCAGCGCGGTAGCGAGTGTCACTAGTGCGAAGGTGAGTGACTAGGTCGGCTTCTGTGGCAAAGTCGGACAGCTCTGGGAACAGGTAGGGCAGGAGAAGGCGGCCTAGAGCAGCAGTGGCCGGGGAGGAGTAACGATCGACTACAGTGTCGTACGGTGCTTTCGTTGTCTTATGTTGTCCGGCTGACGGCGGGTGGTTGCGAACGGCTAGACGAGCAGCAGCGTCACGAATAAGCCACTATGAACGAGTCGTACTGTCAGCTGTGGCGGCAGGCGCGAGAGAGGCGCCAGACGTGAGGTCAAACAGGGAAACACCGTCCTTGGAATCGCTCAGTAAGAACAGCTGTAAGTCGTCGAGCCACGCATCGAACTCTATCGGGCGGCCCTCCGGATCGAACGTGAGGACATTGAGCGAGGCCATAGCGGGCAGAGCGGTCGGGCGCGCTAGCAGCAGAGCAGCACGCAGGCAAGGCAAGGCAGGGCAGCGCTGCAGCAAGCGGCGTGCGGCAGGGCAGGGCGTGTGGCAGGGCAGGGCGCTCGACGGCTAGGCGCGCGGGCAAGGCAGGACGGCGCGGCGGCGCGGCGTGCGGGCAGGGCAGGGCGCGCGGCGGCGCGGCGCGCGGACAGGGCAGGGCGCGCGGCGGCACGGCGCGCGGGCAGGGCAGGGCGCGCGGGCAGGGCAGGGCGCGCGGCGGCGCGGCGCGCGGGCAGTGCAGGGCGCGTTGCGGCGCGGCGCGCAGGCAGGGCAGGGCGTGCGGCGGCGCGGCGCGCGGGCAGGGCAGGGCGCACGGCGGCGCGGTGCGTGGGCAGGGCAGGGTGCGTTGCAGGCAGCGCGCGCGGGCAGGGCTCTCGGCGGGCAGGGCGCGCGGCAAGCAGGGCGTGCGGCTGGCAGCGCGCGCGGGCAGGGCACACGGCGGGCAGGGCGCGTGGCGAGTAGGGCGCGCGGTGGGCAGGGCGCGCGGCGGGCAGGGCGCTCGGCGGGCAGGGCTCGCGGCGGGCAGGGTGTTCGGCAGATAGCGCGCGCGAGCAGGGCGCGCGGCGGGCAGGGCGCGCGACGGGCAGGGCGCGCGGCAGGCAGGGCGCGTTGCTCGACAGCGAGCGACGCGCGGGCAGGGCAGTGCGCGCAGAAGCAAGCAGCGCGCGGGCAGGGCAGGGCAGGGCGTGCGCGACAGCGCGACGCAGGGCAGGGCAGGGCGGCGCGACGCTAACAGGGCGGCGCGACTCGTGGGGTAGCGCAATTCGGTGGGCCCTAAAAAAAATCGGTCCTAGGCTAGGACCTGCTCTGAAACCATGTCAGAAATAACGAACAGGAATGTGTGAACTAGCAGCAGGATGGGTACAAGTAGGAAACCCTAATTGGGTTGTACCCCTTATGGGCTACCCCACTACAGCCTAAACAATAAGCAGCACATATAAGTTTGACAAAGCTTTATCTTATTCGTTGATTCGTGAAGTTTGACTGAGCCAGAATTATCGCTGAGGCTGAAAGTTCATACAAATCAGTGCATGAAACAAAACCCACGGCTAAAATATAATTTCTCGCGATAATTTGGTTGGTTTTGTGCCTACAGGGGCAACCAGCCAAGATATTTGTACACCATGTTTCCTGCTGTCAGCGGCGCACGCACATACAGCACAACATCAAGTTTTCAGCTCGCTCCACACCACACGCGTCACCGTCAACTTCACTCACATGCGCCAAGTGTTGTGCTTGCATATGCTTGGTCGAAAACAATGGCGCGAGCAACTGTTTTTCTCGCGCCACTTGCGTTTGCTAGCCACTTGCAAAAGTCAAACGCGGCCCACATTGTGCAGCCTCTGTCCCAGCAGCTCGCTCCACGCCACGCGTGCCACCGCCATATTCGCCAAGTTGTTCTGCGACTGTACAGTACAGTGTTGCACCACCAGCCATTTGCAGCTGACAGCGTCGTGCTGCCCATTTCCTCTTGCCCCCTTGCAACATTCCCACTCTCCACTTGCGGCCTACCGAACTATCTCCTCTCGCTAAAACAAGAAAGGAAGAAGAGGAAAGAAACAAAAACGCAACTCTGATTTGAGTTTCCCAACCCTGAGAGCCTAGGGTTGCTATTTTTTCAACACTAAAAATATTTAACAGGCTCAGACTAGCTAGTTTGCGGCCGAAGTCCCGTCAGAGTAAAAAATAATTAGGGGGGTCAAAATCAGAGTGCCGTTTTTTGAAACGTCAGCCCTGGACGCAACAGTAGTCGTCACGGCTGGACTAGTGACTACACAAGCACCTACATTCAAAGCACAAGTACATACACTAGCAACAGGCAAAGGTCCTAAGCTAGGTGCACGCAAACCAAAAGATCCATACGTGACAGAATAAGCAGCATCCATAGACATACCAAACACATGGTAACCACTACGAGACAGACCGGGCCAAATCGGGGGCCTCGAGTCAGGCCCAAAACGCTCACGGTAGAGGTCGTCGAGGCGACTGTAGCAGCGCTGTGCAGAGTGGTCAGGACGCCAGCAGGTAGTGCCAGCAACATGGCCAGTCAGGATCCGGTAATGGCAGGGGCCGACGTCGCGGCCATCGCGACGAGCCCCCCAGCTGGCTGGGCCGCTACTGCAGCCAACGCTATCCAAACCACCAGGCCCCCACTGCTGCTGAGGGCGCCACTGCTGCTGAGGGCGCCACGGCTGCTGAGGTTCCCACTGCTGAAACTGCCGCTGCTGCTGTCCCTGCTGCTGCAGAACCCTAACGGGCGCCATGGTAAAGGCTATATGGGCGTAGGAGCGGCACGCTAGGAGAAGCTAGAGCTAGACACTGCCAGAACGAGGAAACGCCAGGCTAGGAACTACTGGCGCTAGGAGCAGCTGGAGCGGGGAGCGGCTGGAGCTAGGCACGTCTGGAGCAAGGCACGGCTGGAGCAAGGCACGGCTGGAGAAAGGCACGGCTGGAGCAAGGCACGGCTGGAGCTAGGCACGGCTGGAGCAAGGCACGGCTGGAGAAAGGCACGGCTGGAGCAAGGCACGGCTGGAGCTAGGCACGGCTGGAGCTAGGAGTGGCTGGAGGTAGGAGCGGCTGGAGCAAGGCACGGCTGGAGCTAGGAACAGCTAGAGCGATACTAGGAACTACCGACGAAGAGACACCAGCCTAGGAACAGTCGGCTACGCAAGGCGGGCTAGGAACGCCAGTCGGGGCACAAAACCGAAACTATGCCAGGAAAAGTGACTGCGGCTGCTCGCCGCTGTTAGGGATGCCAAAGGCAGGAGGCGTGCACGAGACAGTGGGCACTGGTGGTACTGTGGGCGGCTATGGGCGGCAATAGGCCAAAAATGGGCGGAATTAGGCGGTGGTGGGCGGCTAGGAGGGGCTGTGGGCGGCTGGGAGAGGTTGTGGGCGGCAGAAAGAGGCTGTGGCCGGCTGGGATGAGCTGTGGGCAGCTGGGAAGAGTTGTGGGCGGCTGGTGGCTGCTGCTGGCGGCTAGTTCCAGCTAGTGCGCTCGCGCTAGATCTTCTGCTGGCTGCGTGTAATGCAGCCGTGCGGAGCTGCGTGCGGGCAGCATGTGGAGAGTGGCGTGCGCAGCGCTGAGCGTTCGTGGCTGCTGGGGCAGGCAGGCTGGCTGAGGCAGACAGAACGGGCCCGCGGGGGCCTTCCTGAGCGTGACTAAACGGGGCCCACGGAGGCCTGGTAAACGCCACTAAACAGGGTCTACGGGGGGCTGTGGGCCGGCTGTGGCAGCCTCGTGCGCGGCCCTTGCTGCTGTGCGTGCGCGGTTGTTGCTGTGCACGTGCGCGCACAGCAGCTGGCTGGGGCGTGCGTTCTGGCGGCCTAGGAGGGACGTGACGGCTGGAGGGGAGGGAAGCTAAAGACTTGGGCGGTTTGGGAACAATCTAGGCCTAGGAACTTAAGCGTGTGATACCATCTCATAGATAGCAAGCGGAAGTGATATCGACTAATAGGGGAAGGGGTAGTACAAGTTAAGTGTGTAGAGAAACATGTACCCTCTACTGTGAACCTCACTGTAGCCTAGAAGTCTAACAAACGCATAAACTACATTTGACAGTTGTCCAGTCGCCCATTTGCATCATACGGTATTACCGTAAGCCCCGTGTTACGGCAAAAAAACCGGGGGGGGGGGGGGGGGGGGGGGGGGGGGGAGGGAGGGGGAGGGAGTGGGGGGCTATCCGGACCGGAGGAGCACGTAACAGGCAAGTAAAAAAAACTTTTTACCATTACATCGGATCGAGAAACACTACAACTGCTTGTTCCTATGCCCATATCATCCGATCCGATGAGGCACTCGAGGGACGCGTCCAATCCACGCAAGTGTCTCTCAGCCAAGTGTGCTGCCATGCCACATCACCGGCTGCTGTCCTTGAGCCCCTCGAAAGGCCCTCCCGCCCGCCCTTCCCCTTCCCCACGCTCATCCACCCTTCGCCGCCATGTCTGCCGCCCGTCCCTCCCGCCACCACCGCGTGACTCCCTGCCCTGCCCGCCCCCTGCAGGCCTCTCCTCCATACGCCCCCCCCTGCTCCAAGTGTCCCTACTTCCACTACCACCACCACGGCCACCACCACTGCCACTGCCACTGTATATCCACCCCTCCTCACTCTCTCTGCTGCCCCAACCCTCATCCCCACTGCTCTCCCTCCCGGAACTCCCTCTGCTCCATCTGCCTCTGCCCCTGCTGCTCGTGCCTCTGCCGCGCCCACGACCCCTGCTGCTTGCAATCGAGTCATCATGCCGTGATCTCACACCAGCTGCCCCACCACCATTGCTGCCACTGCCTGCATTGAAAGTGGCACCGGCAGCATCGGCATCAGCACTGTCATCATAATCAGCACCAGCAGCACCACGAGTAGCACCGCTTCCCATTTGGCCGGCCATACCTGCCGACCGCATGCGCGCCCCTCTGCTTACCACACCACCTACTGCTGCTGCGGCTCCCACCTCGCCCTCACCATCCGACCCTCCCGCCTCCTCCTGCGCGCCAGCCCCTCCTGCGCCTTTCTTCCCTGCCTGCGCAGCAGCGGCGAGCCTCTCCGCCTCGTGCGCCTGGCGGTCGGCCTCGGCCTGCTTGCCCCTCACGAGCTCCAGCACGGCCGCCAGCTCCACCAGCGGGATGGCACGCGGCAGCATGTTGCCGTACTTGCTGGGGGGGCAAGGGGTGCCATGCGGTGGACAGAGAAGCAGTGAGATGACCGGGGTGGGGCAGATGTGTTACTTGCTGAAGAGAGAGACTCGTAACAGACTGCATGCCCCACCACATACCTAAATCCCTCCCTTCATAACCCACCCTCCCAAACTCACCCCTTGCCCACCACCTCCCCTACGAAGCCTCTCACTCGCTCCAGAGCCACCACCTGCGCAGCGTGCAGAGGGGCGCACAGGGAGCAGAGGGGCGCACAGGGAGCAGAGGGGCGCACATGAGGCATGGTATGGTAACAGAGGCATGTGAGGAGTTATGAGAGACAGAGAAGGAGGAAGTGGTGAGAGGCATAGAGGGGTGGTGAGAGGCATAGAGGGGTGGTGAGAGGCATGACAGTGCGGAATGGGGCTGGGCGCGGGATGGGGCAGGGCGCGAGATGGGGCAAGGCGCAGTGCAGCACCTGCTTGTAGAGGGCGCACCTGCTTGTAGAGGGCGCACCTGCTTGTAGAGGGCGCACCTGCTTGTAGAGGGCGCACCTGCTTGTAGAGGGCGCACCTGCTTGTAGAGGGCGGAGGACATGGTGCAGCGCACGTAGAGCACACATGGCTCTATGCGCTGCATGCCCGCCCCCAGGGGTGGAGGGGGGCCGCCCTCCTCCATGGCCGCTGCTGCCCGGCGCATTATGGTGGCGTGGTGCGAGGAGCGGATGGCCGGCACGAATATCTGCGATGAGCACATTGCCGTTGAAGGCATGCCAGTTGGACGTGGGAGAGCGGGGAGAGGGTGGAGAGGGAGAGACAGATGCAGGCATGACAGAAGGTGAGATGCGATAAGGGATAATTAAGAGGGGGAGAAGGATGAGCTACTAAGAGAGAGTGCATGGCCGCATGCACCAATGCCCAGTCAATGCAACTCCCCTTCCACACTCTCCTCCGCCCCCTTCCTCCTCTTCCCTCCCCAATCCCTTCACATTAATCCCGCCTTGCCCACTCGCCCTGCTCCACTCGCCTGCCCCCTGCCCCACCCCACGGAGCCACACGCACCTCACACGGTTCACCCGGGCAGTGTGCGGCCAGGAGGGCGGTGATCTGCTGCTGCGCCTCGAACTCGCCCCCTCGGAAAGTGCCCACCTTCCACCACTGCACGCCGCGCACCCTCATTGCCTCCACCGCATCGCCCACCTCCACCTCCACCTCCACCTGCGGCTGCTGCTGCGGCTGCTCAGAGCCTATTGCCTCGGCCATGTCCCCCCGCGCCTGCACCACCTGCCCCTCTCCACCGCCTTCACCACCCACTACCGCCTCTCCCAGCCCCCCCTCCACCAGCAACCCCCCTTCACCTCCCCCATCCCCTGCACCACCACCCACTCCTTCCGCCTTCCCCTCCTCCCCTCCCGTCTCCCCAGCTGCCCCCTCCACCTTCCCCGCGTCCCCCTCTCCCTCCGGCGCCGTCTTCTTGCGGCGCCCACCGGGGTTGGCGGGGCGCTTTCTGAGCGGCGCCATGGCCGCCATCACCCGCTCCTCCTGCTGCCGCCTCCGCTGCTGCACCGCCTCGGGCTCCTGGCGGACATGGGGGACACGGGGGACACGGGGGAGTGGGGGACACGGGGGAGTGGGAGACACGGGGGAGTGAGGGACACGGGGGACGCGCGGGACATGGGGGCCAAGGGGGACAGGGGGGCCAGGGGGGACAGGGGGGACAGGGGGGACAGGGGGAAGGGGTGAGGGGTCGTGTGGATGGTAGTGTGTGAGTCGATGCATGTGTGTGGCGGATGAGAATGACCCAGCTGCTGCCAACCCAGAGTCTCAAGGGAGCGCACTGGTCTGTCCCGCCCGGCGCCCTCTGCTCCGGCGGCGAGATCAGGGTCATTCTCCGCGCAGCCACGCAGCTGAGAGGCGAGGCTACGGTTTTCCAGCGCTACCTGCCCGCGCATCTGCTAAAACCCACTCAAACCCCCGCCGCCCAGCCAAGCAGCCTCGCAAGCCGCTCACCATCAGCCGCAATCGTCGCTCCTGCCGCCCCTTCCGCAGTTCCTTCCGCGACAGCCCGCCCTCACCCTCGTCGCTGCCCTCACCGCCCTCACCGCCATCGCTGCCCTCCCCGCCGTCGCTGCCCTCGCTGCTCTCGCTACGCCCCCTCCCGTGCGCGGCGCCGCCCTCCGCCTCCACCAGCGCGCCCATCGCACGGTCGCCCTCGCTCTCAGCAGACCCCGCCTCCGCCGTCGCCGCCACCACGGCCCCCGCTATTGTCACTCTCCGCCTGGAGCTGGCCGGGGTGGCTCTCAGAGCGATTGGACGTGGATCGGCGCGGCCCAGAGACGAGAGGCATCGCGACGGGCGTTGCGCTCGGACAGCGGCGGAGAGGGTTGGTGCGACGCGCGAGTGCGGATGGCAGGCGGGCGGCAGCGCGGAGGCGATGTGGCTGCTCGGCGCGACGCGGTGCGACGACGGCAGAAGCGGAGGGAGGCGCGGCGTGTAGCAGAGGGGATGACGGGCGGCGAGGGAGGACGAGGCGCGAATGGCCTCCATGAGGACGGAACAACTGTGGCTTCGCGATAACGTAATCTGGTGGTGTGGTGGTGCGTTTCAGTGTGGGTTCTTGCGTTAAAGCCCAATTGTCAAATTTAGAATCCTAGCTTGCAAACTTGGTATACACTCTCTCGAGATGTTCCGATTTGAGTGCAATTGACTACATGAGAGAAGGCACGAGCGAACATTATTAGCGAACACCAATGTAACAGTGACGCGCGAATATTGGGATATGCTCGCGGCGAGGTTTCGGAGGCGTGTGGCTCGGACGCGATGGCGCGAATGTAGCGGATGGGCGAATCTCGCGATGTGTGTGTGTGTGTGTTTGTTTTTGTTTTTTTGTTTTTTTAATCAAAAGAACGGTCGTGGGGTGGGTGAAAAGAGTTGTACTTAGTGTATACGAACGTGCGCCTATGTCTCCGAAACAGGCCCTATTTTATCAGAATAAAATATCCTGATTACACTGATTTCAGTATTAGTGAAGGGGTGCATGACTGAAAAAACAATACCGTATTATATGAGATATAGCCCTGATCAGTCAGTTTTTTAACGCATAAGCACCATGAGATGCCAGGATTGTAGTGTACCCCCAGCACTGATTCGTCAGTATCCTGTAAAAAAATACAGTGAAATGTGTTGTATCGGAAAAAAAATAATTAAGGGGCCAACGTACAAAACCAACGACATATATACAGCAGAAAACACAGGCCGCGATTTTTTTTCGCCCCGCTGTACCTGCACCCCGGCAATATACACGTCATGTCAGGGGTTATGAGCCAATCATTGTTCGCCGCAAGCCGAAAACCACTCCACACGGCACCGGAACATTACCGCGTCAGCATGAAGCAATACGACGCGCTTCGCACCTGCCATTCAATCGTGGCATGTGTCAAAGGTAGCAGGCTGAGAGGGTATGCGAGGTCAGGTCGTGTGCACGTCATCAAGTACATGAGGCAGCCCAAAAGCTCTGGATACAGACCACTCGGCTCTACGGACTCGTCCGAAGGTGGAGCTGAGAGTGAATGGCCTGTAGGCAGAGGAGTGGGCAGTGGCGAGGAGAACCGAAAGCCGAAGCGCTGAAGGACCTGCTGCACCATGTGTAACTGGGTCAGAGTGATGGTGCGCCGTGCTCTGTCGCGGGTGATATGCAAGCCAAGATAGCTCCGCAGTTCACCTTGGTCAGTGCAGGTGTGTCTCTTCTGCAGCTCCACCTTCACTAGTGCCAGTGCCTCAGTGTCAGCAGTAGCAAAGACCAAGTCGTTGACGTACACGAGGATGTAGAACGGCGGCAGCGAAGTGTCAGTGCGCAGAAACAGCGACGGGTCAGCAGTCGAGGGAGCGAAACCAAGAGCCGCAAGTGTCGTCCTCAGTGTGTCGTGCCACTTACGGGGCGCCTGACGCAGACCGTAGACAGGCCGCCGGAGGCTCCACTGGGTACCCTCAGGAAACGACCCAGTGAAGCCACGTGGGCGGCGCAGCCAGATCGCCTCGTGAAGGCTGTTGTGCAAGAAGGCTGTCCAGATTTCGAGGGAGTGCAGCTCGTAGTCACGCTGTGTTGCAACGATTAGTAACACCCGAAGAGTGGTCATCTTCGGGGTGGGGGAGAAGGTCTGGAAGAAGTCCAACCCCTCACGTTGACTGAAGCCTCGTGAAACGTAACGCGCCTTGAAGGCAGGCGGAGAACCCGGCGGCCGCTTGACTCTGAAAATCCACATGTCATCGACTATGTTCGCCCCAGGGGGGGAACTGCGTCGACGTAGGTGCCTGTGGACTTCCAGGAAGCCATCTCTGCATCCATGGCTATCTGCCACTGAGAGGAGTACGGACACGTGATTGCCTCTGAGTAAGAGCGCGGGGTCGGGATGTCTAGTGCATCCGGGTCTCCCTAAGGGCAAAGCAGCATGGCAGCGAGATGAGGTGCAGCAGCTGCTAGGCACTCCAGCTCAAACTGCCTGTCCTCAAGGACGTCACAGTCAAGGGCAAGCTCACCACTGACGGACGGAGGACAGTCAGAGTAAAAAACAAGACTCGCAGCGTAGTCAAGGCGGCACAGAGCAGCAAAGTCAACGAGCTTAGTGACAAAGGCAGACGCAGCAGGAGACGAAAACGTAGGGTCAGTCACAGCCGTGGCAAGAAGACGAGTGACAGTCGGACTGACAGCACGAACAAGGTCAAACTCAGAGTCAGGAACGTGAAGAAGAGAAGACGCAGGAGGTGACAGCAGGACAACACGCTGTGGAACAAAGGAAGGACGAAGTGCCATAGTGTGAGTGCCTGGGACAGGTGGAGGACGAGGATGGGCAGCACGACGAGTACGAACAGGTGTGGAAGCACGAGACGCATGCTCTCGACTCTCTGTCAGGGACTCTGTCACCTTAGTGTAAGGAGTAGGAGCAGGCAGCGGGGAGTCTGGCAGTAACTGTGTCTGAGACTGGTCAGTCGGTGGGAACAGTATCGGAGGAGTAGTACCAGTGACAGGGAACTCAGTAACAGCAGGTGGGAGAATGAGAAGGTGGCGAAGCGCAGACGGCTGCTACTGAGTAGTCGCACCCCCAGAACCTCCAGCTCCAGTACGAGAACTTCCAGCACCAGCACCTCCAGCACTAGGACCTCTAGCTCCAATAGTAACAACACCCCCAGCACCAGCACCTCCAGCTCCACCACCGGGGCTGCCCCACCGGACAGCCCACTCGCGAAGCTGCTGCGGCGAGGGAGTCTCCTGCCTACTATCACCAGGAACTCCTGCACCAGTACCTCCAGCACCTCCAACTCCAGTACCTCCAGAAGTAGCACCTCCAGTGCTAGTACCTCCAGCACCAGTACCTCCAGCACCTCCAACTCCAGTACCTCCAGCACCAGCACCTCCAGCACCAGCACCTCGAGCACCAGCACCTCCAGCTCCAGTACCTCCAGCACCAGCACCTCCAGCTCCGCCACCGGGGCTGCCCACCGGACAGCCCACTCTCGAAGCTGATGTGGCGAGAGAGTCTCCTGTCTACTCGGCTGCCGCTGACGTCCACTCCCAGAGTCTCCAGTAGGAGTACCCACAACTCGACCACCAGTAGGATACTCAGCACCCCCAGGACTAGCACCCGCAGAGTCCGCACCCCCAGTGTCACCACCTCCTGCAGCACCAGAGTCCACAGCGACTGGCTGCAGAGGCGGTGAAGACGGTCGAGGAGGAAACCCAGGAGGGGTCTCCAAGCGCGATGTGCGGCGAGTGGCCGCTGTGTCGTCAGCAGCTGGGTTACACCCCTCAGTTGGGCCCCCTCAGCTGGGCCAGAGGTGTCGGAGGAGACCTCCAACGGCGCAACCAAGGGGGGTGGGTCAACCTGAGGGAGCAGGACCCTGAGGGGGGAGGAGGGCTAGAGGGGGGGGGGGTCGGGAACAAGGAAGAGAGGCGGGAGGGGTACGGGGGAACTGCGGTGGGGGTGAAGACGGTAGAAGCAAACAGACTCGTCAAAAGTGACGTCGCGGGAGGACAGCACACGGCGAGAACCCGGGTGGTAAAACTGCAAGGGCGGTGCGTCGGTGGGAAATCCAAGGAAGACGCAGCGAAGAGTGCGCGGAGAGAGCTTGCCCGCGGGAGGATCGCGGACAAGAGCAAGGGAACCCCAGACCCGAAACGGCGACACATCACCAACCTCTCTCGTCCAACGTAGAGTAGGGGAGGTCTCCGGGTGGGAGACACGGGGCCAAAGGTTGAGCTGCTGTGCGGCGTATCGGACCGCAAACGGCCACAGAAAATGGGGAGCAGCCGCATGGATAATGGAGGTGCGAGCAACCTTCATGACCAAGCCAATGCGGTGCTCTACAATCCCAATCTGCAGTGAAGCAGCCGGAAGCGTGAACGACTGGGTGATGCCCTCAGTACCAAAGAAGTCCTTGAGGAGGCGGGAGGAAAACTCACCACCTCGGTCAGAGTGCAGCCGCAGGACCGGGAGGTCCTGCCGGAACCGAGCGCTAAGCTGGAGACGGACAGCGCGGATCCAGCGGATCAAAACATTGTGGACATCTGCCTTGCTCTGCAAGGGGAAGACCGTGGTGTAGCGCATGTAGTCGTCAACAACCAGCAGAAAGTAGCACTTGCCGCCCTGTCCAGTGACGTGGGCGGGGCCCCACACGTCCATGTAGAGGGTCTGCAGAGGAGCAGTGGTCGGAGGAAACTCGGAGGAGTGAGGAGCGGCGCACTGCCGCCCCTCGACGCACAAGCCGCAGCGAACTGACCCGACGCAGCTACCTGACTTGTCTCAGCCACCTGTGCAGACTCAGTGGTCAGTGTGTACAGGCCAGACCCAGGCCTCCGAGTGAACGCGGCGAGGTGCTCACCAGTGTGTGAGTCCGTACAGATCGCCACGAGCTCTCCCCCAGGTGTGGTGGTAGTGACCAACTGGTCCTGGAGGAGAGCGGTAGCCACCAAATTCTTAGCGAACGAGGGAGGTGGAGACCTATGAGGGAGCCGGAGGGGGCTGCCGGACACGGGAGAACAGTGGAGCCACGTGCAACTACTGGGCCACCGGAGGGGTCGGCCAGAGTGACAGTGACAGGGGCTGTGAGTGGTGTGACTGTGGTGAAGTCGCGGAACAAGCAGCGAGACGCGCCTAAGTCTAGAGTGAAAGTGTGCAAGGCCTCCTCAGGCGCTACACCTGTGCTAGCTGAGTCGCAAGCACCTAGACTAGCAGCCTCTACACTAGAAGCTCTAGGCACATACGAGTAAGAGTCACCCTCGACACTAGCAGAAGCAACATACATCGCATACATGCCAGCATGGATCACGTCCCAATCACAGGCAAACACATCGATGTCCTTCTTGAGCAAGACTAACCAATCTGGATTCTTTAGCTACTCACCATGCTCCGCACGATACAGGTTGTCAATGCGAAAGAAGCAGCGAGGCTCCGTGTGGTCCGTGCGGCCGCAAGTCGCTCCAGGCTGACTTGTGTGTCGGACGTACGGGCAGCGAACTGGGCCACCTGAGCTGCCACGCCGGACCGCCCACT